TGAGTCATTTGGATTACTTGTGGATTATTGTGATGTTTTTATCAGCTGTTTGGACTCTCATTCTGACGGCACCCATTCACTGCAGAGGATCCATTGATGAGCAAGTGATATAATGCTACATTATATCTGTTCCCATGAAGAAACAAACTCATCTACATGGATGGCCAGCAAATGTTCATTTTTAAGTGAACTTTTCCTTTAAATGCATGACATTTTATTTAGGAACAAATATAAATTATGCCTGTGTATATGTAGAATACCTTTTATGGTCAATAAATAATTCTCATTTGTGTTCAAATAAATAACAGACTATTAAAAATAAAAAAATAATAAAAGTCTACTAAAATTCCTGTTAATGACATTTACTGATTATACATGTAACCTCAGGGTCATGGCAAATTCATTAGCCGGTAAGATTAGTCACTCAGATGGGATTTTACGATTAGGGCATTCCTAGATTTAGTTTAGATGCTGTCTCCGGGCCTTTATCAAATATAACATTATGGCTACAGGTCTCAAACCCTTTTTACCTTCAGTTCTTTTACATCTATGTTTCCAGACCCATCTGTGTCAAACAAATCGAACGCTTCTTTGATCTCTTGCCTCTGTTCCTCTGTCAGTTCTGGTTTGGGACCTGCTCTCTTCCGCTGGTTCGTGGTGGCGCTGGGTTTCCTGAAGCTTGAAGCCTTGAAAATAAAAGCAGAAAGAGAGATTCAGCCATGCTTCCACCAGGGGGTGTTATCATGGTTTTCTTATACAGGTGCATCTCAATAAATTAGAATGTCGTGGAAAAGTTCATTTATTTCAGTAATTCAACTCAAATTGTGAAACTCGTGTATTAAATAAATTCAATGCACACAGACTGAAGTAGTTTAAGTCTTTGGTTCTTTTAATTGTGATGATTTTGGCTCACATTTAACAAAAACCCACCAACTCACTATCTCAACAAATTAGAATACTCCAAGACTTAAACTACTTCAGTCTGTGTGCACTGAATTTATTTAATACATGAGTTTCACAATTTTAGTTGAATTACTGAAATAAATGAACTTTTCCACGACATTCTAATTTATTGAGATGCACCTGTATGTCTTATAAATGCTTCTATAAGGGAGTTCTCAATGCTATGGAGCTATGCAAGCACCACCTCCCTCATTTCCATGGTGCACACAGAAAAGTAAAAATAAATAAATGTATAAATGAGTAAATGTGTAAATAAATACACATGGGAATCAATAAATACAAAAATAAATGGATGCATAAATAAATAACAAAATAAATGAAAGAATAAAAATAAAGTTAAAAATAATAAAAATGAAGTTAAAATTAAATATATAAAATAATTAATAAAGGAAAAAAGTAATACATTGTACATTACAATTGTATTTGTTTTATCAAGTTATTTATTATGTATTTTCCTATTATTAAATTATTTTATTTTTCATTTCTTCAGGTTTGGTCCTCCATATTCTTACTGTTTACTGAGTTTTGTTTTGGAAATAATCAGAAATTAAGAATATGAACTGAACTAAAAATATTATTCCTGTTGCAACAGAGGACCAGACAGATAAAAGTGTCCAAACACATCCTAAATGTTGCCTATCCTGTGTTTCTTTTTGTATATACTATATTTTAGCACATTTTACAATAATTTGCACACTTATACTAAAGCTGCAGTGTTATTCGATTTTTTTTACATTTTGAGCTAAATCTCAAAATTATCCTATGAATGAAAAAGCATAAAAATGTTAATAAATACCTCCGGCATAATTGTACAAGTGTCTATTTTAGTAAATGGCAATCATTTTTTTCATCCATATATTTCTGAAAGTGTAGGAACTTGATACATTTTGTCTCTAAAAACCATGTCCTCTGGTGTGACACCATATTCTGATTTTAAATCGGCCAATTCCGAAGAAAACTTTAATTAGTTGAAGGACTCCATTCATGATCATGTTACTGAAGCCCCCTGTGAAGCCCATTACATGTGCACATGGTCAATTTTGTCTCAGAATTGTTCAAATATTTAACAACAAAAGTGTTACGTTTTGTTGTCCTTTGGTGTGACACCCCTAAATTATATTTTTTATTAAAAACTGCATGTTAAACTTCATAATCATGGAAAATTATGCAAATGTGTCTTGCTTACCGCTAATGGCAGGTTAGCTTGGAATAGCAAGGTCATTAATTGACAGAAAAAGGC